CAGATTAGAGAGCATTGGGAGAGGCTGCAGAGTGGTCAGAAAAAAAGGGTCCTGTGAGAACTCATACAAAGAACTGGGAACATTTTGCCTAGGAGCGATAAAACCGAGGGGTGACACGGGGCTGATCTTCAAAAATTTGAAGAGGTAGAGCCTTGGTCGGGGCTGCTGTATGGAATCGAACCAGCTGTACAAGTGACAGGGTTTTCCCAGAATGCTGTGGACCTCCAGGCTGCAAAGTGACAGTCCTGGGCACCAGGACCTACCGCAGAAGATAAGCTTAGACCTCAGTGATCACAATAAAAGTGGGAAGTGCCCTCCCTGCCCCACATATCCTTCCTGAAGACCACTGGCCTAAGCTCAGCTGGCGAGGTGCAACCCCAGGGAGTACAGCTTCAAACTTGCTGCCACGTGAGGCCCATCAAAAGCTCTGGGACAGAAACATAGCAGGAGGAAGGCTTGAGAGCGCTGGCAATCCGGTCTTGCAGATACTCCAGGAATCAAGTCAGGTGGGCAGTGAGCAGGGTAGCCCGATGAGCCTCTTTCAGACCCATTTTTGTCAGACTGTCTTCCTGACCTGTGTTTTGGTGCGAGGCCATTAGTGTACACTGTGGGCCATCACAGACACCCTCTGAGGGGCTTAGGGATGTTGAAGATGTTTGCTTGTTACCTCACACTGTGTTCTCTTTATGAGGCCCCCCAGGAGAAATTCTTGTCTGATTTTAGTACCAAGAATAGTTGTAATTCTCTTGAGTAATAGGTCTGTTTTTATCCCATGGACGCTGGGAATTGTGTAACTGACATGGTCTCCTTTTCATTTTGGCTGCGGGAAAGCTGAGAGACAAATTTGTGGCCCACCCCCAGGAAGTGAATAGGGCATTCTAGGGGGCGCTTAACCTTGATTCCCATCTCTACTTTGTCTTCCCTCTTAGTTTCTCTTTCTTCTCTTAGTTCTCCTTGTTTTACTGTGTACAGTCAAGAACAGACAAGCAAAAACAAAAATCACCTATAATCTAATCTCACTTTCCCAAGATACCTACAAGGAACAATGTTGTCTTTTCAGGCATACTTTAAAAAATAAAAATGAGAGTATGCTATGCATAGTGTTTCTTGGAGGGGGCACAGTATTTTGTAAATGGCTTTTTTCGTTTTATATGTCATGAACCTCTTTCCATGTCATTAAATGTCCCTCTTTAAATAATTTTAAAATTCTATGAAGAGCTAGCAATTTAAAACTAACAAATAACATTTCCGCAGCCCCTTAATGTGTGCCTGGCTTTATGTATATTCACCTTTATATGAAAGTATACTCACATAGATGGATCTAAATACAATATGTATGCATACATATTATAAGCTATAATTTCTGTATGTGTTAACTCATTTAATGCTTACAATCCTGTGAGATAGAAATTATTGTCCCCCTTTAACAAGTGAAGAAACTAAGGCACAGAAAGATGCAAAACTTGCCAAGGTCATACTTTGGCTCCAAAGCACGTGCTCCTAACTGCTCTGCTGGCTTTCCGTATGCCATTGGGATTTCACAGTCCACAATGGTTAAACATTTCACAGTCCACCTGGTTAAACATAAAAAAGAAACATTTATCTCCTTCCACCTCACTTTCTTATTTATGTTATTTTGCTTTGTTTTAAGTCCCCTTGTAAGTCACCCAAAATCCCCTCTGCCACAAGGCAAGTGTAGAGAGTGGTACACAGCACAAGAAGGCAAAGTTAAAGTGTTCCCCCAGGGGAGGGGATGAATCCAGGCTGCCCTGCAATGGAGAGGATTTATGTCTTTGGTCTGCGGTGAACTTCCATCCCTGGAAGAGCTGGCTTGGGTGGCCGTCTCTCAGGGAGGCTGGGGAGGGCTGTCTTCCAAAGAGAATGAGCTGGGCCAGACCAGCCCCAAGGCTCCTTCGTACATTCTCGGAGTTTATGAAAATACCAGTAAGACAAAATGAGGCACTCAATGGAGATAATGCAGCAAGTCAGCTGTTGGGCCAGAACCAGGACCCTGTGCTTTCAATCCAGGATCACTCATCTAAAAGTAACAACCGCAGTTTAGTTCCAAACTCTCAGCCCAGTGTATTCTTTCCCCAGAGTGCTTTGGCTACTGCTGCAAGATGGTCAAAAGGATGCTGTCACTGTCCTCTGTCCTTTTGTTAGTGTGGCAGAGAGGAAGGGAAGGAGAATCTGGGTGGCCCTGAGGATGCCCTATGAGACTACAGTTGGGTGGGACTATCCATTTGACAAACGGGAGGACAGGAAGGAGCCAGGTTTCTTTCTATTCCTGGATGTGATGTTTACTAGCTGGGAGATCTTGGTCAAGTTTCTTACCTCCTGAGACCTGAGTTTCCTCATCTGCAAAATAAGAGTTTAATACCTACTTGCAAAGCTGTTGTGGGCTCCCAAGAGATAGTATGGGCTACAGCACCCTTAAAAACTGAGCCAATAAGTACCTATAAGGCTGCCTCTGTATCTGGGGGCAGCTAGACAGAGGCCTGGCAGAGCCGTCCGGGAGGGGCGTTGGCCAGTGCCCAGATGCTGTCTGGCTTTTTCCCCACTTCACCCTCCAGCCCACTACAGCTCCTCCGGCAGGAAAGGGGCCGTGTTCCCAACAGAGGCCCACAGCATAGTGACAACTGTGCGGGGGTTGGGGGGCTTGGGGTGGGGAGTCAGAGCTCTTTCTCGCCGGACTCCAGGGGCTTGGGGCAGGAGGAGTAAGCCAGCAGAGGTTCCATCCTCCTCTTCCTCCAGATCCCGGGCTGTCTGCCCACGGGGCACGGCCCTGTACGCGGTGCCACCGCGGCCATCAGGCTGGGTTAGAGGAAGGCCCGACCCCAACGCGGCAAAGAAAACAAACACAGATGTGTTTGCCCGGGACCAGGAGGGAGAAAAATCTCCCACTCCCCCGCCGCCTGAGCGCTCCCCTGGGCGTGGGGCCGGCGGAAACCTGCGGGGCTCTCCCGGCAGCGCAGGGCCGGGGCGACGCGGACGGTCCCCGGCCGGCCCCTCCTCCCTCGGCGGGGTGGGCGCCGGGCCCAGCCCCCCCTCGGGGTTTCCCCGGGCGCTTTCCTCGCTTTCTCTTTGTCTCTGCTTCTCTTTCTCGGGCGCCCGGGTTCCCACCCGATCGCGCTCCCGCTCTCTCCAGGTCCCGGGCCGCTTCCCTGTAACTTTCTTCTTTCCCGGGGTTAAAACTTTGCTCGCGAGCGGGCGGCAGCTCGCCGACGTTATTGGCC